TTATTAAGGCAAGGGTGTCAGCATCTGTGACTGAAGTAAAATTAATTTGCTGAGGGCTGCAGTACATAACGTGAGGCTACACGCTGCAACATTATCCTTACTTTGATCACGTTACAAGACCAGTAACAGCTCGCATGGATCTCAGTTATTGTTGACAGTTTAAGATATATGCATATTAGCAAGTTATGGCATAAGAGAGAAAAGGCTTAATAGCCAATGGTAACTTACATGGTGATCAACCTCCTTTATCCGTCATAGTCGGTGATTTTTTTTTTTTATTGTAGAAAACACTTAATTGCTTATTTCAACAACCAGAAACATAAATTAAAGCTGCAAGCAGCGTTGGGCGGGCCCTCGCACTTGTAGCACGTCCGGGTGTGAGCCGGCCGCGTTGCATATTCTGGAGCTCTGCCGGTGCGGCTGTGAATTTGCTATGCGCTTCAGACACTGCATGAAGGTGTCATATGTCACTTCCTGTTTCCCCTTTGTGGAGCTACATAGCACTTGGCGCTATGACTAGAAATGAATATTGGCGTGTAGATGTGTTTGGGGCCGGACAGTTATCAAGCACGTAAAGTTTTGCTCAGATGTGAGCATGTACACTGAAGTTACAACAACTTCCTGTGTCATGGCGAATCATCGACGCCACGGACACGCCCATTGATGAAAACTCGCAAATAGCACAACTTTTCATCTTCAATGCCTTTAGAAGGCACAGCAGAAATTTGACGTCGATCCAACTAAATCCCTAGGAGGAGTTCGTTAAAGTACGAAGTGTGTAAATCATCCAAAAATGGCCGTAAAATTCAAAATGGCCGACTTCCTGTTGAGTTTAGGGTATGGGTTCTTGAGGCTTTTTTGTGCGTCTTGGTATGATACATGCCAACTGAAAATTTCGTGCATGTATGTTGAATGTGAACGAGGGGCTAATTTTTTCCAATTTTCTAGGTGGCGCTAGCGAGTCATTTTGCCACGCCCATGCGCGAAACCCATAAAATACGAAATATTTCACCAGTTCTGACATGTGTGCAAAGTTTGGTGAGTTTTCGAGTATGTTTAGGTCCCCAAAATGGAGCTTACTTTGCAGAAGAAAAAAAAAAAATATAATCTTTACAAATTCAATAGGGACCTCGAACGGTCGTGCTCGGGCCATAATTAAAGCTGCAAGCAGCGTTGGGCGGGCCCTCGCACTTGTAGCGCGATACACGTACCACAGAAAATTAGTGCACGTAGGTGAAACGTGCGGTGGGGGCTGCTCCATTAAAGGTCACTTCCTGTTGCCAGCAGGTGGCGCTATGACTGTGGTTGAATGTCAGCATGTACATTTGTTCAGGGCGGGACTCTCATCCTACATGTACAGTTTGGTCCAGATGTGAGCATGTACGAAGTGTGTAAATCATCCAAAAATGGCCGACTTCCTGTTGACTTTAGGGTATGGGTTCTTGAGGCTTTTTTGTGCGTCTTGATATGATACATAGGTTGAACGTGAACGAGGGGCAAATTTTTTCCAATTTTCTAGGTGGCGCTAGCAAGTCATTTTGCCACGCCCATGCGCGAAACCCATAAAATACCTAATTTTTCACCACTTCTGACATGTGTGCAAAGTTTGGTGAGTTTTCGAGTATGTTTAGGCTCCCGAAATTGAGCAGAAAAAAAAATATATATATATATATATATATATATATAATCTTTACAAATTCAATAGGGACCTTGCACGGTTCGTGCTCAGGCCCTAAATAATCTTTACAAATTCAATAGGGACCTCGCACGGTTCGTGCTTGGGCCCTAACAAACCAAAAGAAAGAAGGTAATTGTGAGTCTTATTAAAGTATCACAATGTGCGTCTGTATTGCAAAGATCTTGCTAAATGTGGCTGATGGATTTTATCGTTTGAGTTTGAGAACGTGCGCTGCTTTAAATGTTGCCGCTGCAAGGAATTGTGGGACGGCATTCTCTCCTTTCCTTTTATAAAGGATGGTCAGGTGTACCCTATGCTGAAGGAGATATGAAAGGAAGCATTGAGGCACCTTTCCTTAGCTTTTGAGAATTCGAACAGCTCTTATCATGGCTGCCACTGAAATACTTCTGGTTCACTTCACTCAGTTAGGAACCTTCCTAAGCAAAAAAGACTTTTCGAACACAGCCAAAGAGTCAAATTGTAGTTGTGTTTATGCTGGCCATGCTGCACCCTAGTGGTGAATCTTAAATTTGGGACTGACACTAAGGAGTTTGCTACAGGCCATGGTGCTCCCTCCATGTGGTTAAGGTTTTCTCTCCACTAATGGAAAGCAGAGAAAGTGCTCAAGATCCATGGTGTATCAACAAAACAGCCTCCCCAGCCCTCCAGTCTGCGTCAAAGCGTCCTTGAGCAAGATACTGAACCCCACTATTGCTCCTAATGGCTGTGTTGTCTTTGTGTGCGATTGTATTAGTTTCTGTTCCTCATGAGCAGATGGTTCCTTGCATGGCAGACTCTGCCATCACTGTGTGAATGCAGTGAATGTGACATGTAGTGTAAAAGCACTTTGAGTGGTCAGAAGACTCAAAAGGAGCTATGAGAGTACAGACCATATATCATTTATAGTGAAATAGCATCACACATCAACAGGGCCATAGTCTAGGTTTCCCTCTTTTCAGCAGGATGGCCCACAGGTTACAGCCTCCACCATAATTGCAGTGGGTCATCAGTGTGAACAGATTTCAGTTCCAACAGTGGGGTGCTGGAGGTGCCAGGATGAGTGCCATCTGGCCTCAGGAAGCTGTCATATGAGCCAGAGTGACTGTGAGATTCATTATGCTGCACTGGGATCTGTCAGAGGTCCATGGCACTGGCCAATTTCTCGTGTTTGTGTCCCAGCAGACACAGAGCAACACTAGCTTTCATCTGGAGTTGATTTGTATCCACCTGATGAGTGCAAGTCCAATACTCACTTCTTGCTTTTTGTTGATTACAGCCATCAATAACTCTTTTGTTGAATATGTGGCATACATGATAGACTAAACATCTGAATCTATCTTTTGATGATCAGAAATGAACAGCTGCCTGGATTAAATCCCAAAACTGATGGTATGATTTGTAAAAGTGATTTTGTAAAAAGAAGAAATTGAATACTGTTGATAATCATTTAATCCAAGCACCGTAAGCATTGTGTTTCCACATTCAGCCTTCCAAGGCCCATCAGTGTGATGGAAAATATTAGACTCTATACTAACACTGACACAGACAAGCTGAATAAAAGTTATTTTCCTGTGATATTAATTTATAGCAAAGTAAGGTTAGTATGGAGTCAGCGACCCTGAGAGGGAAATCACAAATAGGACACATGTTTCTGAGAGGGGCTGTCAAAATGCTGTTCACCGCAACTAGAATAACCTACACACTCCCTAACTTCAGGGATTATAAAAGAAAAAGACATCTTCAAGAACAAGTGAGGGCTTTAGAAGGAGAGTGATGGTGGTGAAAGTAAAACTAAATAAATCACCATAAAACTAAAAACAGCAAGTACTGGGAAAATGTAACCAATCCTTTAATGAAAAGTTTATCTAACTACTAGACAATGGCAAAATAACAATTATGGGAAATAGTAAATGTTAAAACTTAGTATAGTATAGTAGTGCAGCTACAAAAGTGCAAGAGACAAAACAGTAAACTGACTCACAAATGAATGCTAACATTAGCTGACATTAGCCATGAGCTACTGGTCATACAATTTCAGAAGGAAAACCCCTTAGTGTGTTGAAGTGGTGAAGTGTGCGTTTTATTTCTTACGAATTCAACTTTTCAACAAGGGTACTTGTACTATATTCACAGAGAATTATGACCATCTCTGCAGGTCCACACAGCTCTGCAAAGGTTCAGTCTCAGCACTGGTTTCCAGCCGCAGGTAGCTGTTTCATCAACTAAACTGTTCACTACCTCCTCATTAGCAAACAGCAGTTTGTGACCTGCTGGTGAAAATTTAGCAGCTAAAGAGCCAGATATTGTTTTCAAGAGTTGGTGAAGACCAAACCAGAGCTGAAAGACGAGTGAATATTACATTACATTTATTTACAACAACAAAAAAAAAGAAATCACTGACCACGATGGATAAAGGATGTTGATCACCATAAGTTACCATTGGCTATTAAGCCTTTACTCTCTTATGCCATAACTTGCTAATTCATGGATATCAGTCACGTGACTTTTTTGTTGTGGCCGCCATCTTTAGGACCGCTGCGCAGCCCCTCTTTCGTTAGAATGAATGATGTCGCACACGAAAATAGCACACCTCACCACCGACGAAAAGCAACGGTATTTGAAGAAGGTTGATACGTTAGGTTTCGATCCATATCTACTGTCCAGTGAACTGCTGACTCCACTAAAGTCTAGCAAAAACCTGCCAAATTTGACGTTTGCTGATATTTACATTTACCTCGTCCACAATCCATCTCCATACACCGGGGAAGCCCTCAAGGCGTTTAAAAGCACCGAAGCCTACCGCTACTTCACCTCAGGATGGGTTAATGATCCCAAAATTCATCATCTGGAGATGAAGAAAATGTTCTTGATCACAGGAAGGGTAAGTGGCAGTGTTTTATTCAAGTGATATTAACATTAACGTTACTCAAGCAAATAGCAACATAACATAAATCAACCACTACTGTAAATTTACTTTTGCTAGATGTCTAGAATAACATTATGTCCCCATTTTAAACTACATGTTTTAATCTAGCTAGCTAACATGTAGTTTGTTAACTTCTCGTTAAAATTTGCAGGTGAAGCATTCACAAAGCCTCAGTGTAACCCCAACACACCCCTGGATCACAGTACAGGATGATGGGACTGTTTTAATGGCTCATTGTACCTGTAAGGCAGGTTTAGGAGAGGTATGCACACATGCATCAGCTCTGCTTGTATTGTGTGTTGGCTGCTGTTGATATCAGGGATGGGCAGGCTTGCACCCAGAAGCCCTGTGCATGGGCACAGCCAAGTACGGCGTCTGTCAGAGATGTCCAATATGCAGAGATCCAAAACATCAATTTCTGTCATAACTGAGAGCCCCGTCATGTTCAAGGCCCTGGTTTTCCTGATATTAGGCCATCAGATGAAGAGTGCAGGATGTTTTTTGAGATGCTTCATCAGAGTGAGAAGCAAGAGTCTAAGCCAAAGAAAAGTGCCATCCTTTCTGTCATTGAGGGCCACTCCCACAGGTACACAGTGGTGAAATGTAATTAAATACATCCAATAACATGATGTATACTTTAATGAAGTATATTGAGGCTTATACTTTTTATTCCTTGGTCTAAGTATACATTTTACTGCAGAAGTTTCACGTCACAGCATATTTTTGCTTAAGTCAAATATCTGGGCACATCTTCCACCACTGTAGGTACACGCCAAAGGTGATGCAGCTGGACTTGCCCACTCCTTTGTCAACCTTATATTCAAGCACCTGGCTAGAGGTAGACCTGCCCACACTACTGGTTGAGACTTCCAAGGTCTTTGATAACCTACATCTGACACAGCAACAGGTAAATATTATAAAAACAGGTTGGTGTTAATATTTCCATTTGTCAATCTCTTCAGTTGAAAATCAAAGTAATCACTAGTAAAATTATTTCTGCCTGTGAAGTTGAAATTCATGACAAGTCAACTAACTAATGAACAAACTAACTTTTCCAGTGTTTGGTAGTTGAGGAGGAGACCAGGGAGCAGAGTAAAAGTAGGGTATGGTTTGAAGAGTCACAGCGTCGGTATTCTGCGAGGCAGCCAAAGCAAACAAACCCGTATCCTTGATCAAAAGGATTTGCTATCCGCTCTCTTCTCAGTTTTCCACTGAGGCAACAAGGTGCGTAGAGTAAAGCACAATTAAACATGAAGGTTGGATTTGTGTAGCCATGATGTAACCAGGTTAGCTATTCAAGTCAATGAGAAGAATCAGATTACAAGCAAATTATAAGCAAAGGCATTTATGAGTGGTCAGAGTGCAACACATTTAGGTAAATGTTGATAGGCATTAAATGTCATTCAGACAAATACAATACAATTTAATAAACAGTTTATATTTCAATTTTTGTCAGATGGGGTCAAGTGAATGAGGGAAGAGCAAGGGCAAACTATGTCGCTATGATGCAAGATCACCACGAAGACTTCCAGGTCCATCAACAACTAAGAGATGAATGATATGTTCATAGGGCTGGGCGATATAGACAAAAATGTTATCACATTTCATTTCATTCAATATTGATTATTCTCATGATAATGTGTCATGTCATGTCAAATTATTATTTCTTTCAAGCTTAAAGGCAGATTTTTGCTCCAGAGTGAAAGTTGAAGAAACCAGGTGGTTAATTGTGGTTCTAAACTATATTTTTATGGTCAGAATGTGACAAACACTTGATGACAAACCGTGGATCACTTCACAAATCTGAGGCAGAACATTCAAAATTATTATGATACAATCTTTTTTCAACAAATGTGTTTTAGTAAAATAAAGTAAAATCTTTTTTAGTTCCTTTTCTTAAAAAATATTAATGCAAAGTAAGTAAAAGTGCTAATTTCTTTGTGATTCAAATGAATTAAATCAAACATTTATTGAGAAAAAGTGTGTGATAATTATCATTATTGTTTTATTGCCCAGCCCAATATCTACATCCTATCAATATCTGTACACAGTTTATCATTATACTGTATATACCTCCAGGTTCATGCATCAGGGTTCATCATCCACCCAGACCTCCCCTGGATTGGAGCATCACCTGACGGCATAGTAACATGCACTTGCCATGGTGATGGTGTGCTGGAGATAAAATGCCCATTCAACAGCAGGGACTGCTCACTCGCTGAAAGCTGCAAACACCCATCATTCTGTTTAGGCCTCAGAGAGGATGGGACAATGTCACTTAAGACAGACCACAAGTTCATGTATCAAGTGCAAGTTCAAATGCATGTGGCCACTGTGAGTTACTGCGATTTCATGGTATGGACACCGCAGGAGTTTTTCATCCAGCGGATCCAGTATGATCCTGTTTTCTTCCCTAACGCCTACCTCAAAGTGGCTGAATTCATCAAAACCGGAGTACTACCAGAGCTGCTGGGGAAATGGTATACAGCACCACGGCATTCTCATACAGACAGGGCAACCACAGAACAGCCACCTGAAATGGGATGCTACTGCGGTAAACCTTGTGACACAGATGACATCACCTGCACATCTGGACAGTGTAGGCGGAAGCACTTTCACAGGTCTTGCCTTAAATTGAGCAGGGTACCGAAGACATGGAAATGTGTGGAGTGCAGAAAAAAAGTGTAGTATTGCTTTAGTTTTTGATTAATCGGTTTCATCTTTTATTTGCTTAAATATCCTTTCAACATAACATTCATTGTTATGAACTGATTGTTATGAAATAGTAAAGATGATTAAGAGCTATGTATTTTACTGCCAGCTGTTTTGTTTTATAGCAAATAAAGTTACAAAATACAAAAAAAGTTCATATTTTGTGTTACACTTAAATTTTCTATTCTGAAGGCACTACAGATGGGCAAGTGTTGCACAAAGCACAGCAGACTCTGACCATCTTGTCAAGAGATGTAAGCTCTCCTGGAGTTGTAGTCTGGCAAAGAGAGATGGGTATTGTACTTTCTAAGATTGTGTACTTGTTCCTCACGAGACCAATGACACGTTCTACATGAATCCGAACAGCTGCTAGTCCCCTCGTAGTCTCAAGTTCACTTGGGTGCAGTTGCTGTTTCCCTTTAGTGAAGGCAGGTATTTTGAGATGTGCACTGTACAAGCCCATGGCAATTTTCTGTGGTACGTGTATCTTGTCCAGACGCACAAAAAAGCTTCTTGGAGCGATGCCCTAAAATCAACAGGAAGTCGGCCATTTTGAATTTTATGTCAAATTTTGGATGATTTACACACTTCGTACTTTAACGAACTCCTCCTAGGGATTTAGTCCGACCGACCTCAAATTTCTGCTGTCCCTTCTAAAGGCATTGAAGGTGAAAAGTTGTGCTATTTGCGAGTTTTCGTCAATGGGCGTGTCCGTGGCGTGGCGTCAAAGATCAACTCTTCGCCATGACACAGGAAGTTGTCGTAACTTCAGTGTACATGCTCACATCTGGACCAAACTGTACATCTAGGATGAGAGTCCCGCCCTGAACACATGTACATGCTGACATTCACCCACAGTCATAGCGCCACCTGCTGGCAACAGGAAGTGACTTTTAACGAAGCAGCCCCCGCCGCACGTTTCACCTACGTGCACGAATTTTCTTTGGTACGTGTATCTTGTCCAGACGCACAAAAAAGCCTCTTGGAGCGATGCCCTAAAATCAACAGGAAGTCGGCCATTTTGAATTTTACGTCAAATTTTGGATGATTTACACACTTCGTACTTTAACGAACTCCTCCTAGGGATTTAGTCCGACCGACTTCAAATTTGTGCTGTGCCTTCTAAAGGCATTGAAGATGAAAAGTTGTGCTATTTGCGAGTTTTCGTCAATGGGCGTGTCCGTGGCGTGGCGTCAGAGATCAAGTCTTCGCCATGACACAGGAAGTTGTTGTAACTTCAGTGTACATGCTCACATCTGCACCAAACTTTACGTGCTTGATAACTCTCCCACCCCGCTATGGAGGACCGATCCTGACACAGTCAGAAATAAATACAGAAATAAATAAGTGCTCAATAAATAAATAAGCATCCAATTAAATACACAAAAAAATAAAGTAAATTAAAGCTGCAAGCAGCGTTGGGCGGGCCCTCGCACTTGTAGCGCGTCCGCGTGTGAGCTGGCCGAGTTGCACATTCTGGAGCTCTGCCGGTGTGGCTGTGAATTTCCTACGCGGTTCCGACGCCGCATGAAGGTGCTATATGTCACTTCCTGTGTCCCCTATGTGGAGCTACATAGCACTTGCCGCTATGAATATAAATCGGTATTGACGTGTAGATGTCTGAGGGGTGGGAGAGTTATCAAGCACGTAAAGTTTGTTTCAGATGTGAGCATGTACACTGAACAATAATGTACCCAAACAATAAAATAAATTCCTTTTATATTTCCCTGCCTTGTTGTTTATGTGTACATACAGAGGAAGAATGTGAGAACAGCACACATATCATCGTTACTGTGTGTTAGAGCATGGGAGAACAGTGGATACTTTTAATACAGCCCACACCCCTAATACTGTGTAACTATAACAAGTAGAGAACAGAAGAAAAAGATGTTCTTTCTCTACAACTGTCTGCATAGCTTATTCATATTGTGTAATGAATGAAAATAAATAGGTCTACTAGGCTCCTCTCTACTTTGACATTTAAGATTAGCTTGTTTGATCCACCTTCATACACATGTGACATTACTGTACAACTTGAGAAAGGTGAGTTGTTTTCTGCTCCAGCCTGCCTAAAAGAAAAGCGTTTTTGGGATTAAATGGACTTTATTAGCTGCTGCAGTGCAGGATGAACTCAGAATAGACCCATTTCTCACCTTATTATTCTAAATCATGCAACGAAGAAGAAGAAATGCATAATAAATCGTGGGACAAAATCTGTCCACAAATACTGTACAGCATGTAGTCTAATGAACAAGACTTGTGTTATAGCTGACTTGGGCAGTGAAATGTTTAATTTTTTTAATTCATGTGGTCATAGTTGTCCACAACTCAAATCACCCAATAATAATATAAAATAATGGTATAAAACATTTCTTCTTATATTCATAAGAAGAAATGTTTTATACCACCTCAAGAAGGCTTCCTATCAGAAAGTTAGGAAGGTATTTCAAATGTACAACTGCAGTACTTGATTCTAAGTAAAGTAATTTCCCTGACATTACTGTGTTACGCATGTAACAGGTTTTATACTTCCTGTGAGTATAATCCAATCAGTCTTATTTTCATACTGTATATCCGTTGTGTAATTTGATAAATTGTGTTGTATGTGGTGCTCGCATCGGGTACTACTGAGACTTCATTGCCCTCTTCAGAGAAGACTCTGACTGCAACATGCGTCTTTGTAAAGAGAGAAACGGACAGAAAAAGTCTCTAACTCTGCCTGTCAGCTCGCTCTGCTCCGTTAAAACTGAATTTACCATACAGAATTGAATATGAGTGCACTCCAGATTTAGCTGCAGCCAGCTGACCGTGTGCTTCTCCCTATACCGCAGTTCTGTGTCCATGCATGCAGCAAACTGAAAGCACTGTCTGTCGGAGCGTCTACGTGAAAGAGAAGGAAGACATTGCTGGTAGTATTGTCTTCAGAGTTGTTAAACACCTCAGCGCACTGAAGGAAGCCATCTGACTGTGTGAGGGTGCAAGATCGTTGATGTCTGCAGGCAGAGTAGAGCTCTCCTGTCTGACTGGTCCACCAATAGCAGAGAAGATGACCCCTTGAGACACAGCCCCTCCTCATTTGCATAATGAGGCAGAAATGCATACAAAAATTTAAAAAAGACAGGCAGAAATAAATACCATGGGTGAAAATAAATAAGGTAAATAAATACAAAGGAAGAATAAAACAGACAAAAATATTAAAACACACACATAAATAAATACATTAAAAAAATTAGTAATAAATAAAGTTGAATAAACAAATAAGGTAATTATAACAAAGGTGAATAAGTAAAGGCACTAATTAAAATATAAACATTTATGTCTCCTTGTATAATTTAATTACTACCTACATTTATTTATTTACTTTATTTTTTTGTGTATTTAATTGGATGCTTATTTATTTATTGAGCATTTATTTATTTCTGTATTTATTTCTGGCTGTGTCAGGATCGGTCCTCCATAACGGGGTGGGAGAGTTATCAAGCACGTAAAGTTTGGTTAAGATGTGAGCATGTACACTGAAGTTACAACAACTTCCTGTGTCATGGCGAAGACTTGATCTCTGACGCCACGCCACGGACACCCATTGACGAAAACTCGCAAATAGCACAACTTTTCATCTTCAATGCCTTTAGAAGGCACAGCACAAATTTGAAGTCGGTCGGACTAAATCCCTAGGAGGAGTTCGTTAAAGTACGAAGTGTGTAAATCATCCAAAATTTGACGTAAAATTCAAAATGGCCGACTTCCTGTTGATTTTAGGGCATCGCTCCAAGAGGCTTTTTTGTGCGTCTGGACAAGATACACGTACCACAGAAAATTCGTGCACGTAGGTGAAACGTGCGGCGGGGGCTGCTTCGTTAAAGTCACTTCCTGTTGCCAGCAGGTGGCGCTATGACTGTGGGTGAATGTCAGCATGTACATGTGTTCAGGGCGGGACTCTCATCCTACATGTACAGTTTGGTCCAGATGTGAGCATGTACACTGAAGTTACGACAACTTCCGTGTCATGGCGAAGAGCTGATCTTTGACGCCACGCCACGGACACGCCCATTGACGAAAACTCGCAAATAGCACAACTTTTCATCTTCAATGCCTTTAGAAGGCACAGCAGAAATTTGAGGTCGGTCGGACTAAATCCCTAGGAGGAGTTCGTTAAAGTACGAAGTGTGTAAATCATCCAAAATTTGACGTAAAATTCAAAATGGCCGACTTCCTGTTGATTTTAGGGCATCGCTCCAAGAGGCTTTTTTGTGCGTCTGGACAAGATACACGTACCACAGAAAATTCGTGCACGTAGGTGAAACGTGCGGCGGGGGCTGCTTCGTTAAAAGTCACTTCCTGTTGCCAGCAGGTGGCGCTATGACTGTGGGTGAATGTCAGCATGTACATGTGTTCAGGGCGGGACTCTCATCCTACATGTACAGTTTGGTCCAGATGTGAGCATGTACACTGAAGTTACGACAACTTCCGTGTCATGGCGAAGAGCTGATCTTTGACGCCACGCCACGGACACGCCCATTGACGAAAACTCGCAAATAGCACAACTTTTCATCTTCAATGCCTTTAGAAGGCACAGCAGAAATTTGAGGTCGGTCGGACTAAATCCCTAGGAGGAGTTCGTTAAAGTACGAAGTGTGTAAATCATCCAAAATTTGACGTAAAATTCAAAATGGCCGACTTCCTGTTGATTTTAGGGCATCTCCAAGAGGCTTTTTTGTGCGTCTGGACAAGATACACGTACCACAGAAAATTCGTGCACGTAGGTGAAACGTGCGGCGGGGGCTGCTTCGTTAAAGTCACTTCCTGTTGCCAGCAGGTGGCGCTATGACTGTGGGTGAATGTCAGCATGTACATGTGTTCAGGGCGGGACTCTCATCCTACATGTACAGTTTGGTCCAGATGTGAGCATGTACACTGAAGTTACGACAACTTCCGTGTCATGGCGAAGAGCTGATCTTTGACGCCACGCCACGGACACGCCCATTGACGAAAACTTGCAAATAGCACAACTTTTCATCTTCAATGCCTTTAGAAGGCACAGCAGAAATTTGAGGTCGGTCGGACTAAATCCCTAG